CATTTTTCTCTGGGGACAAATAGCAATGGCACATAGTTGTACTGCTGCTATTTGTCCCTTCTGCGCATGTGCATTGTGGTGCATGGCAAGTTGCCTCGGGTGGGGTAGGGGAAGTTTACCTGGGGTTCTGGGGCCTTCTTGGGTTCCAGCAGCAGTGATCCAGAGCGTGGTTCTGGCTGGCCAGGCTCGGTTTCAGGCAGCGTATGCTGCCACCATGTGCACTGTCCCATTTTTTTCTCCCTGTGTCAAAACCCCCCACCACGCTGCAAATTAATAGTGTTGTGAATGTGTGCATGTGCAGTGCATGCTCATCTGAACATGCCCGTTGAGTGTAAATGATGGTTTCTCAGTGTGACCATCATTCAGAAATGAGCACAGTGTGGTATGATTAGAAATCAGGAGACCTGGATTCTATTCCCAGCCTTGCCACTGATCTACGCTATAACTTCGGGTACTTGCCTCCATTTCCCCCCTGTGAAGTAGCAAAGAATAATTCTTACCTGTCCTTAGATGCAAAGAGACTTAGTGGTGCAGTATAAATGCCCTTTTGCACTCAGTTGCTAAATACTTGGAGCATTTGCCCCTTTATTAGCTTTTAATAATATTTTCTTTCTCTTTCTTTCACATGAGTAAAGTTTATTTCGAAATGATAGAGGCAAATCTGATAAAAAGAAGAGACATCCTCTTTAGAGAGCTACTCAGAAAGAATGCACTAGACTTACACTACTGGAGAAGACATTTAAAAAAAAGATATAGTTTACAATAAAGCTGTCTAGCAGTTGTTAACCTGGTCTAGCTTTCTACAAGGATATATATCCAAATGTGGTTATGAAATAAAGAAAAACATATTTTTTATTAAGATTTTTTAGCTTTTCCCCATTTTTGTAAGGCATCACCACCACAAATGATAACTACTCCATGGAAAGATAATATTTTAAATGAAAGTCTATGTAATCAATAATGATTCATACTTTTTCATCACTTTTATTAGTATTTTAAAACATTAATAAAGAATATATCTAGCTAATAAGACCTTTAAACCCCACATAAAACACTCCACTCAGCAAAAAATTTCAAACCACTCATTATCACTTTAGCATTTGTCAAAAACAGGACTTAAAAATAGAAATGAAGGAAAATTACATGTTGATCTATATTTAGTGTAATCAGGCTTTTGAATGAAATTTTGAGCCCCATATTTTTATAATTGTGTATGCAACTGATTTAAATTTTATGGCAGGAAAGTTTTCCTTGAGGGGAGGGAGACTGATTATTGAGTCAACATATGGGGTCTCTTGTTTTATTTTAAGATTACTGGAAAGCATATGTGGCAACCAGGATGGGCGTTTTGTAGGTCAACAATGAGAACCAGTAAATAAATATGTATAGTTTGCAGCCATTTGATTTTTCAGGATCAGCATCTGGGAATTCAGATGCTAGTTCAAATGGTTTTATTATATATTTTTTTCCAACAGAAGTGGATTCACCGATACAAAAGGAATCTACTGTGGAATTAGTGCTAACTGATCAGGTCTTATAAGAGCTGACATACTTTCCTAGGTTATCAAATGTAAGACTTTCTCACTAAAAATGGCATGTATAAGCAGAATAATAAAAGCATCAAAATGGAGGCAGTGATGACATTTATGATAAGAATTAAAACACAAATTTGAAAGGTTTTTTTTTTAAACTGAAAACACTTTAAGGTTTTAAAAATACACTTTTCTTGTCCTTAAAATTTTGCTCTTTTAGGACAAGTGTCCTGTTAATATCAAAGCATTTTGCTTCTAGCCTCGAACATATATTTTTTGTAAAATTATGAGAAGAATAATTCCCTCTCTCCCTCACTCAGACTCACACATATAGACACAATGGATATTTAGGTAAAGTTACTGTTACAGGTGATCCTCAGCATGTTGCTGCGTACATCTAACATTTTAGAGCTTCTGGGAAACTCATTAAGTAGTTGCACTTCAACACTGTTCTGTCAGAGCTTGTAAAGCAATGCAAGCCAAAAAGATTCACAAATCTTGCGAGTTCAGTACAATCCAATTTCTCTAGAAAGACAACTATCCTGATGTTTTCCTATCCAAGCAAAACTGTCACTTGTCAATTGCCATGCCCTCCGAATAAAATGAAGGCTGGATCAAAGAAGCATTGCCATTTGCCATAGTTTAAAGTGGAGATTTAGGGGGGTTTTTCTCCTTTGAAAGATTTTTCAGAGCCCAATATTGATTTGCAAGTTTAAGATATTGCAGTAGAACCAGGCTGTGAGTAGACTCCTAGTTTCCTTGTCCTTTCACAATTCTTACTGAAGTTACTTAACAATTATTTTTAAAAGGCTGCTGACTTTTGCAAATTTAACAGGAAGCACCGTAAGTCGTATTTTGCAGAGCGGTTGAACCTTTGTATCTTGCATTGGTTGCAGCTGACATTGTGGGTGCTTCTGGAAGATCTTGCCTGTGGTAACTTATCCAAGGTAACCTTACAGGTGAGTGGCAGTAATAGAATCCAGGTCACCTGATTGTCAACTTGGTACTCTAGCCACTACGCCATATTATTCCTGAATGAGTCCTGACTAAAAAAATACCCCCCAACTTAATTATAGAACCGTGTTTCCTGTCTTCGCCTGACAATGAGACAACATAGTAGAGCCAACCAACTTACTTTAATTGTGTTTTAAGAAGGGCTCCTTTTGTTGGCGATATGGAGCAAAACAACAGCAGCTCTTGTGCTGCCCGGGCCAGTTGTCTATCAAGCATGCTCAAAAATTGTTTTCAACTGACTATGAGATGAATATTTTTTTCATTCTAGAGTAAGCAAAGGAGATCCAGGCTGAGTTTCATACTCAAAATTAGGCATTTTTACTACAGGTATATTACATTTTTTCTTCCAGCTCTCATAAAGCTGCTGAAGATATTTTCCTCAAACTTGTCTTTAAAAGCCACCTGAGGCAGTGTCTAATAGTCAAAAATTGAAAATAGTCCAAAGGATAAATGTCTGGGAAAATCGTATGTGAAACTTTGGAATCCTAACAGCAATATGCCTAAGATACGTCAAAAGTTTGGGCCCAGTCAAGGAGGCAGTCATATGTATGGCAGTAAGTAATAGATATGACATCTCCACAGTATCAGTAACTCTTTTTCTCTGGATTTTCCCCCTGCCTAGTGTATCTAGATCATGGTTGCCTAGATTAGGGGCTGGGAAGAGGTAAGAACCCAGAGTGATCTATATGTGGACACCACTTTAATGACTCAGTGAAGTCTATAACGAGTCCCTTGAAAACTAGATGAAAGCACTTACTTTTGTCATCAAAATTAAAAATGAAAACTGGGCTGGGTTAGAATTATGATGACCCAAAAATGTTAAAAAAGAAAGAATCTGAATTGAACTAACCATATTTTTTTTTAAAAAAAGGAGTTCTCTGCTATCTTCCGAAGTCTTTGTCTGATTTACTTCAAACACTTTCTCCATGCCTAATCTATTTTGATAAATTAGATATGCTATCATAGCCATGAAAATTCAAATATACTAGTTTAGCTGTGCATTGGGCTTGGGGAAATTGATATATGCCAAAACTGGATTTATAACATTGGCTTTGCTTTATCCTTAACAATGAAGAAACAAGCTTGTCTTTTTGAGGCACTTTCTGAGGAGGGTAGATAGAGAATAAATTGTAAATTTACCTTAGGTGTATTTTCACTGATGGCAGTAGAGGTAATTTGGCCTCACTCTCTTTTTCCATAACTTCATATTTGTTATCTTGTTCAAAGCATATCTGTATTCACCGTTGCCATTGCCTTTCTCAGAGGTGTGGCACACTTTATAGCCAGTCTGGTTTTTTACATTAACATAACATTTACTACTCTTTTATATCTTTCCATCAAGTTTCGCACAGTGTTGATATTGATTTCAGTGCAAGTTCCACATAAGAGAGAATGGCAGGATAAGTTTCTCAGACTGCACATGCTGACACTGTATTCCATGAACGTACCAAAAAAAGAGTAGCCATGGGGCAACAAATTTATGCTGCTTTTCGCTGTTTTTTTTTCTGAGGAGTTTTCAACTGCATGAAGTTTAAGCTTCTGGGCTGTTAATGTTGGATGTCTGCTTTTACACAATTCATCCATTAAAATATGGCAAATGCATAAGCAACGGTTCTATTGCCATAGTAGCAAATGAAGAAGCTTCTAACTTACTATGTATATTACCAGCACATGCTTTAAAAAAATACTTCCCCCCAAAAAATTAACCATCCTCATTTTACTAAAATTAAATAAAGATCCTGCAGAACAGAAATGATCTTGAAGAACAGAAAGGGTGACTGAACGCAATGAAAAGACTCTCATTGACTTCAGCCATCTTAGCTTCAGTCTGATTAGGAGTAAGCAATGGAGCATGAGCATTCCTACCAAAATATCCTTGCCCTTTTCTTTGTTTCCAAGAAAAGAAAATGTTCATATAACACATGAATAAAACACGTTGCATTGAAATGAGAGTTTCTTTCATACACGTTGAGGCCAAATTACCCATCTACTTAAACAAATAGTAGGGTGGCTAAACACATTCAACACAGGGACATTTACACATATTTATAGAGGCAAAACATATGTAGCAGAGGCTGGACAGTTGTACACTGTGGGTGGCAGCAGCATATGGGGCAATTGCTGGAGTGGCTGTGGTACTGAGCCGACAGTGGTGGTAGCTGCTTCTTTCTGCATCACCGCCCCGCAAGTTGGCACTCAGGGCTAAATTTTTCTACGTTTGGTTTTCCAGGACCGAAAACAAGAAGTTGAAACATTTAACCGATGTTTGTATCACAGTGTGCCCTGATTAGCTATGCTACTGTATGTTTGTGTGCATGTGAATGTGCATGCGCATGTGCTTGTCTGTGCATGTGTGTGTGTCTGTGTGTGTATTGACTCATACATACTGCAAAAAAATTTGATTGAGAGACTGCATGTCCCTACTCACCTTCTCTTGTCCCTGAGCTCTCATAGGTGAAGAGATGGAAAGATGGGCAGGACATCAAGGAAGGATACCAGGGAATAGCAAGAACTTGCAAGGACCAACTCAAGAAGGAAAAGGTAAAGAAAAGAGCTGCATCTGGTGAGGGAAGCTAAAGGCAGCAAGAAGAGGTTCTATAAGTACATTGGTCAGAAAAGAAAGACCAAGGAAGCTATGAGCTCACCATTAAGTAGCCAGGGTGAACACTTAACAAAAGATGCAAAGAAGGCAGAGATATTTAACAGCTACTTTGCCTTAGTCTTCACAAAAAAGTTAAGCTGAAACCAGGCACCTAATAAAGATTATTTGTATAAGGAAGGGGGCAAGCTGAGGGATGAAACAACAAAAGAAACAGCCAGAAAGCCTTTGATGAGTCTGAATGAATTCTGGTCAGCAGCACCTGATGAACTTCATCCTAGAGTACTGAAGGAATTGGCAGAGGTGGTCTCTGAGCTCTTGCCAATAACATTTAAGAAGTTGTGGGAGATGAGTGAGATACCATAGGACTCGAAAAGGGCCAGCATAGTGGTCTTTGAAAAAGGTAAAAAGGGGAGTGTTTACATGTCACCCTATGTCTCTGTAGTGACACGCTATGGTGCCGTACAACGCTGTATGGTGATGCGGTGATCACGTGAGTCTACACATGATTGACAGCTAGTTTACTGTATCGGCACACTCCCTCATTTTAGCACTCTGCTATGGCAAAGTAGCAGCAAAAACCAACCATATGCCATGCACACAGCACAGTACGGGCAATTACTGCACCATGCTTTAGTAGTTCCCAAAGGAAGGTTTAAAGCACAGTGTAGTAACAGCATCACCATAGAGTGATGTATAGATGCACCCTAGGAGGACCCAGGAAACTATAGACCAGTTAGCTTCATCTCAATATCTCGAAAGTTACTGGAGCATATTGTAAAGAAGGCCGTTTGGAAGCATCTGGAGAAGGAAAGGTTGATCACTTGCAGCCAGCATAGATTTATTAACAACAAATCATGACACACAAACTTGATCCTCTATGACAAAGTAACTACTTGGGTGGAGGAAGGGAATTCTGTGTACATAATTTGGATGTCAGCAAGTCCTGCATGACCTTCTCATAAATAAACTGGAAAAATGTGACAAAACTACTACCAGGTGGATAGACAACTGCTTCAATAGCTACAAGCAAAGGGTAAATATTGTCAGAATGTCAGGAGGTTTTTAGTGAAGTCCAACGGGGGTCTGTCATTGGTTCAGTACTGCTTAGCATGTTTATTAAAGATTTGGATGCTGGAATAGAGAGCTTCTTGAACAAATCTGCAGATGATACTAAACTGGGAACATGTTGGAGTACAAGAATACAATTCAGAAGGATCTTAACATATTGGAAAGCTGGGTTGGAGCTAACAGGATGAAGTTCAGTGCTGGCAAATGCAAGGTGCTACACCTCAGAAAGAATAATCAAAAATGCAAGTATAAAATGCATGACACCTGACTGGATGAAAATGCTACAAAGAAGGATCCAGGAGTCTTGGTAGATCACAGACTCAATACAAATCTGCAGTGTGATGTAGCTGCAGAAAAGGCAAATGCAGTTTTGGGCTTCATTAGTTGAAACATTGGGTGTTGGCTGCCACTGAGACTGCAAATTTTGCTTGGGGTGTGCCAATGCTTCATTTGGGACTTAGGTCTGGTTAGAGGGTCTTACCTCTCTGCTCAGTGCCAGACTGATCACCATCTTTGGGGTCAGGAAGTAATTTTACTTTATGGTCAGATTAGTACAGATTGTGGGAGCTTTTGCTTTCCTCTGTAATGGGAGTGTGGTCCTCTTTCTTGGATCTCTTGAGCATTTTTTTTTTTTAAACAGCAGCAGTAGGACATTGGCTACCATTGTCCCCCTGTTTTGCTCATTGCAGGTCACGGTATTATTCCTTGTGCTTGTGTCAGGGTTTTCTGTGTCATTTTACTAATAGTTTAGACAATGGATTTGTATAGGATGGTTTATTAGGGATGGTCCTAACTCTGGCAGAGGATTGGTCTAGATAACCTCTGGAGGTTCCTTCCAGCCCGATTTTCTATGATTTTGTGATACTGGTAAACAGAATCAGAGCATAGATCAGCATGTTCTGTACTTCTAGGTTGCTTTTCCAGCTACAGAAAGTTTTTGCTTCCTTTTCTCTGACTCATTTCTCAGCAGGGAATTCCTTCTTCAGTCATTATTTTTTCAGAAATTCCCATCTCCAAGATTTCTCTGTTTAGGGAACTTCTTATTACAACCTTCACTTTTCTTGCACATGTTCTCCCTCAGCCCCATACCTTAAGGGAAAAAGTACTTGAGTTTTAGGAATCTGTAACTTGTGTATTTATTTAAGTTGCCCAAGGTGGAGGATTAAGGATAATTATTTATTTCTTGTGAATGTATTGGCTTTGGGTAAGACAAACAGTTATGCTAAAATGTTCATCTGCTTATAATGTCTCCTGTTCGTTAGTGAAACCGCTAATTCAGCAGGCGTTTTTAAACTGTGCGTTCCCCTTAGGAGGAATGTCATGCTTTAAAATGACAGTTTCCTCCACATAAAATGAGGTCAAATTATCTACCTACATAAATAAATGAATAGCAGGGTGACTCGAAACAGCCAAAGAACTTGCTTATATATACAGGGGGAAACACACATACACTAACTTTGCATTGCACCGTATCTGATAATGTTAGCCCTCATCATCTAATGCAGTATGTACCATCCCCATAAATCACTCAATATGACATAGATGTAAAGAACATTCATTCTTCTCTTTGAGCAGAATGCAATCATGCCTTAATACTGCCTTAAAACCGGTGAGGAGTCATATCCAATAACTATCCCAATTATCTTTCAGCACATTTTTTTCCACCTGCAAGGAATGATTATGTGTCAGTTATGATGATAAAGTCCTTAAAGAGATGTTGATGCCTCATGGAAAAATTTTAAAGACATATTGTTTGGAGACAGTTCTGCTTAAAGACTGTATCATATATCTAATGTATTTCTTCTCCTTTATTTTTATTACTAAGGACATATGAATAAAAAGTACAAAACTGGCACTCATGAGATATGCGTTCTATTCTTGCTGTGAAATAGACTTCATGTATGACCTTGGGGCAAGTTGCTTAACTGTTCTGTCCTTGCTACCTTTATGTGTACAGTGGCATAAATATACTGTGAGGCTGAGTTGTAATTCATTAATGTTTATAAAGTGGCTTCATATTTATTGTCTTTTATTCTAATAATAGTAATATTTTTAGATAGCTGCTAGAGACATATTCCTAAGTGAGGACTTCATTATGTGAGGTGCTGTGCAATAAATCATAGAAGATGGGCTATATCCTGAAGAGCTGATAATTTGGATTGGTAGGGGGCCAACCTTTTTGGCAGAATTGCCACAAATTAGCTCTACACCCTCCCCAGATGTCACTCTGATCCCCTTCCCTTTCTAAATCTGCTGCTCTGCTTTCTTCTTCTCTACATATGCTCCCTGCCCGATCTATGGCTCTGCTTTCTGCTTCTTTCCTTGTGCTCCCTACTGGTTTGCTGCATTGATCTCTGCTTCCTGCCCTATCTGCTGCTGTACTGCCTTGTCCCCCCCGATATGATGTGTGCCTCACACAGAGGTTGCCTATGCCAGTTGTAGCACCTTTGCTGCAAGCTGGCCGTCCTAATCTAGATAGAAAAGACAGGACAGATCTAGGACTTTGAAAAGTGGGTACAGATGGTGTGGTGCATCATTACATATAGCACAACACATATTTTTTATCAAGTTAAAAATAATCTAGAATATGACTATTATGCTAGGAAACTAGAGCTATTTTATTGAGCTTAAGATTGGAGCAAAAACAAATATAAATTTATTGGACTATGTACTCATTTGCTATATTACATATTGGACACATCTACACATGAGCATTTACTGCACAGTAACTGAAATGACGCGCGCTCCCATACTTCTCAGTAAATATGGCAACTTACACCAACTTGAATGTAAATTTGATACCTGCATCACACAGGTATGATTATTTACTGTGCAGTAATCATAAAAGTCATAGAAAATTAGGGTTGGAAGGGACCTCAGGAGTCCAACCACCTGCTCAAGGCAGGACCATCCCCAACTAAATCTTCCCATAGATTTCATAGACATTAGGGCCAGAAGGGACCTTGCAAGATCATTCAATCCAGCCCCCTGCCCAAAGAGCAGGAAGTTAGCAGGGGTCAGATGACCCCAGCAAGGTGAGCATCCAGGTGTTCCTTGAATGTATCCAGTGTGGGTGCTTGCCCCACTTCTGGGGGGAGTCTATTCCAGACTCTGGAGACTTGGATGGTAAAGAATATTGTCGTTATGTCCAGTCTAAATAGTCTTCCAGCAGTTTGTGACTGTTGGACCTTGTCTTACTTTGGGGTGCCTTGGTGAACAGACATTCTCCCAGTTCCTGATACACACCCCTTATATACTTATAGGCTGCCACCAAGTCCCCCCTGAGTCTTCTTTTCTCCAGGCTGAAAAGTCCCATGCCCCTTGGCCTCTCCTCATAAGGCCTCCTTTCTTGACCTCTAATCATGTGTGTGGTTCTCCTCTGGACTCTCTCAATGTTCTCCACGTCCTTTCTAAAGTATGGAGCCCAGAATTGGATACAGTATTCCAGCTGCGGTCTCATCAAGGCTGAGTAAAGTGGGAGGATGACTTTCTCGGTCTTGCTTGAGATGCATCGGTAGATGCAAGCCAGAGTTTTATTTGCTTTGCTGGCTGTGGCGTTGCATTGGTGGCTCATGTTCATCTTGTGGTCAATCATGACCCCCAAGTCTCTTTTGGCTGTGGTGATAGTGAGTGTAGTACTTCCAAGCCTATAAGTATGATGAAGGCTCTTTCTCCCAAGGTGGAGTACCTTGCATTTCTCTGCACTGAATGTCATCAGGTTTTGATCTGCCCACCCTCCGAGCCTGTCTGGGTTGGCCTGAATCCCCAGCCTATTCTCTAACGTCACCACACTTCCCCATAATTTGGTGTCATTTGCAAACTTGGCCAGTCTGCTTCTGACACCTGAATCCAGATAATTTATGAATATATA